GAGAGAGAGAGAGAGAGAGAGAGAGAGAGAGAGAGAGAGAGAGAGAGAGAGAGAGACTGTGTGTGCGTGCGTGTGCGTGTGCGTGTGTGTGTCTGTGTGAAAAGTAAAGTCTGCCCCAAGTTGATTCCAAGAGCAGTGACTGTATGGACCAAGCCACCTTGTTCCTTGGAGACCAGGCAGAGGCATTTCTCCAGGCCTCTTTCTGGGCTGCTTGGTGGTCACTTCCCAGCCTAGGTGACCAGTGGTTTCCTGCTGGGTCTCTATCCCTGCACTAACCACTGTGCCCTGTTCTCATTAACCCTGGGCTGTCCTGTGCTGTGATCCAAGGTGGAGCTCTTCTACACAAGCTGCCACTGACAGGCTGGGCCCTCTCCCTCCCCCACCCCCAGAAGCTGCAGAATGGATGGCTCTCCGGCCCAAAGGGGCCAATCCTCTGCAGGGGTTTAGGGAGTTCACGGGAACGGTTCCTCACTGGAGTTGTTTCTACATTTTCTGCAGGGGGAATTCCTCCACCTATGACGAATGGGTCAGCGCAAACACAGGTAAGCGGAGTTGAGCGTTGGCTGTTCTTCTTGGGCGAGCATTTTGGGAACCATTCTGTCCTACTCATCTTCTCCAGCCAGCAGGTTTGGGCATTTGACCTCCCCTTCTCTCACTGCAGGAAGCAGGGATTTTGGCCCTGAGGCCAGAGGGCCATAAGCGATCCTTTGAAACGGATCCAAGATTGCTTTCCACCTCTAGACCTTTGATAGGAACTCTCTGGCCATTGCTGATAGTTGGCATTTGGCTGAGATCGGAGCACCGTTGCCTGTGGGGGCTGTTAGGGACCCCAGATTCTTCCAGTTCAACCTCATGGCTTTGAGTCATCATAATGCACGTCCGCTCTGCCTTTGCACAATCGGGATACCTAAGCCTACCCTCTCAACTTTGCCCAATGTCCTAGTGCGATGTGACAAGCCAGCCTGCTGTGCTTTGTTCAAAAAACCATGGCTTGGTATGTGGCCCAAACCGGGTCTCCAGAAGAAGGTCCTGGCCTCTTTTCCCTTTCTCTTCATCTGCCCAAAGATTCTCAATTTTGTTTTCTTTAATCAAGCAGGGTATCTGCCTTGGCAGAGGCCTCCCGCTGCTTTCTCCAGCCAACAAAGGGAGGGGGGTCTTTCCCAGCCTCTCTCCATGTCTTGTGATAAATGTGCCCCCTTTTTCCATCCCTCACAGCTGAATGGTGGATCCATGTCTTCGTCCCACAGCGATTGCCAAAGTCCTGAGGAGGCCGAGGTAAAGAAGCAGCCTTTTTCCTCACCCATGCCAAGTACTGACTTGCAAACCACCAAGATCTCACCGTTCTCATAGACTCCTGGGGCTGAAAGGGCCCCTGGAAGTTATCTAGCCCAAGTCAGGATTCTCCGCCTGCTCTCCCATGGTGGCTGCAGCCTTCTTGGCCCTTTCCCCTTCTCCTTCTTCCCTTTTTTATTAGCCTTTGTCTTTTTTATCTTGTCTTCTTTATATGTCATTCTGAACTTTTCCCACCATGGGTAGCTCTCCCTTCCAGCATTGCTTTTTAGCTTCCAGCCCTTTGCGTGTCAAGTTTTCCCCTCCAGCTTTTAGCCTTTTCTCCCCCTTTCCTCATCTTTCTTCCGAGCAGCTGGTGAAGTTTCCCTCCCACTTTATGCCTTCCACAGCCAGTGTTTCCCGTCCTCTTCTCCCCGCTCTGAGTCTTCCCTCCCTCCTTGCTACCTAAGCGGTTCAACATTTGCTGGCCCCTTCCCAGAGGCGGCTGCACTCAAACCGCTTCTCTCCTGAGTCCCAAAAGGCCCTGCTGATCCACAGAGACGCCACAAACGGGCAGGCCGTGTAAATGCAAAAGGGATTCGGATTTTTTCCACTCTGTGACATCTGACATCCAGCGTGGAGCAATGCACAGGCTGCCCTTGCCGAGCCCTGCAATTGACTCCCTTAATTGCATTCAAATGTGAAAGAAAATATTTCCATGCAACACGGCTTCTTCGCTGCTCTTTCTTGAAGAGCGAAACTGTGTGGCTTTGATTAGGAAGGATCCGCTCAGGCGCTTGTGAGGGAGCCGCTGGATCTTGGCTTGAGGTCCTCCAGCTCCGCATTCTTTCCACACTTGGGGGGCCGGCAGAGGGGAGGGAGCGGGGAGAAGGCTCTGCTGGTCTCAGTAGGCTTTTGCCAGTCTGGGGAGAGGAACGGGATCGGGTGGGTCCTTTGTGTGGGATCTTGTTGGGGTGGAAGGGGGAAGCTCAGCCAGCACAGAGGGAGTGGCTCTTTGGACCCTCGTGTCCAGGGTGGGCCTCTCGGTCTTCAAGCTGCTTTGGTTCCAGGGGCAGTCCCCCCATCCCTCCCCCATCTCCCTCTGGCTGCCCCTCTTGGCCGCTCCTGTGGCACAGCTGAGAGAGAAGAAGGGTCCCTCAGTTACTCCCCACTGCTTCCCCCCTGCCGAGTCATTCTGCTGTACAGTTAGTCCTTGACTTACGACCATGTGGAGCCTGGAATTTTGGTTGTAATTCATTGTAGTCATAAATCAAGGCATCACATGGCCAGAATATTTTACAACCATGTTTGCAAAGTCATAAAGTGAGTCATAGCAGTCATTAAGCAAATCACATAGTTGTTAAGCAAATCTGGTATGGTGTTTTTTGCCATTCTGCTGGAAAATGGCAAAAACTGTTGCAAATTGCAGCTAGGGGGCCATGAGACGCTGCTACCAGTCGCCAATGTGAGCCAGTTGCCAAGCACCGGAAGAGGCAATAAGACGACTGCGGGGAAGGGTGCAGCAATCATAAGTCTGAAGACCGGCTGTCAGGAGCTGTTTTGAAGTCCATTGTAACTTTGAAAGCTTGCTCATCAACCAGTCGTAAATCGAGGGCTACCTCTACTCACAGTTGGTTCCGCTTGAAGGATTCCTTCTGCTTTGGGTGTAGAAAGAGCAGTGGGGAGTGTGGCTTCTTGGAAAATGCGGTGTGTGTGTGTGCTTTTTGTCAGAATGCCAAGAACTGGAGAAGGGAAGCAGGAAATGGAGTTGGGGTGATGTTTGAGCCCATGTGCCCGTGGTCCCCCTACAAATGCTCCAATAGGATCATGGGGAAATTTTCCAGCCATCTTTTTTGCTAAAGTAGCTTCAAGAGCATTTCCTTTGCTCAGAATTGTACCATCCAATAACATCTCCGGGAAGACTATTACAGTTGCTCACTACTGCATGGAACAGGGGGAGGGGGGATAAGCCCACCAGGAAGGTGCCGCAATAGCATTAGGACATAGACTTATATACCGCTTCATAGGGCTTTTTAAACCCTCTCTAAGCGGTTTACAGAGTCAGCCTTTTACCCCCAACAAGCTGGGTCCTCATTTTACCAACCTCGGAAGGACGGAAGGCTGAGTCAACCTTGAGCTTGGTGGGATTTGAACTGCCAAATTGCAGGCATCTGGCAGTCAGCAGAAGTAGTCCTGCAGTACTCCACTCTGACCACTGCGCCACCACAATGCTCCTAATATATATATATTTTTCTCTCGTAAATGTGTTTTTATTTTCCATTTTCATTTTCGTACAGTCACATATATACTGTGCATAACCGGGGCCATATAACATTA